ATCCATCGACTTCTGTGATACAGCATATTAAAAATGCCGCAAATCGTCCAGTGCAAGATGCAATACTCCAGCAGCTGTAAGTGTTCGGGAATTATGTTGATAGTGAGTGCTCGACTTTTTTGTTCACCACCCTGTAAATATCGGTTTCAACTTTGTTAGTAATGAATTAGATGAATTTTAGAACAATTTCAGGTAATTGAAAAAGTAAATGACCGATTTCAACAATCGAAAGGTGTTCTTATCTCTTCCTGTTACTATGATTCCTAAAAAGCTACGAGATATGTCCTACATAAAGATTGAATGTTGGGCCGACCATCATGAATATTGGGATGGTGACCAATTTTGTTATGTGTACAAAGAAATCTACATGCATCTATCAAACAACCACTGAAATAGGACAAAAAATAAGAAAGTAATAACAAAATCAATTCGATTCGGCACTTTGGTAAATACAGTTTTACTAAATACGGTCCTGTAGGACAAGGCATGTATTACACAGGACTTGTGATGAAAGACAAATGCCAAGATTTCGCAACATTTCTCAGTCAATTGAATTATAATGGAAGATACAAAAACCATGGGCTTGAAAAAAAAAAGTGTCATTGTTTATTTGGCACCTATACTAAATACGGCCCTGAGAGCTGAATCTTTGGTCTTAGAGGATTGGTCACATGAAGACATTTGATCAGAAACTCCATACCAATAACATAGGTGAATTTCAGGCAAATCCCACTGTGGGCCAATTCCCTATGGTTTTGTGCGGGGTCCTTTAAAAAAAGATTAAATTGAAATGTTTCCTCATCCGTCTCGGAAACAGCTCATCTCTCGGACAAAATTAAGGGACTGTAAGATGTCAGAAAAGAGTTTGGGGGGATAAAGAAGCCTCTACCCACAAATACATATCACCCTGTAGATTTGAAAATGTTGAAATGCTCAAAATGATGAATTTTTATAAATTACTAACCACACCAAATTTCGCATTAATATATTCGTAAGTCAGCGAGATATTACAATTGATAAACAAAAATTATTAAAAGATCTATCAGCCTTTTCAGTTTGTACCTTAAAACCTAAATCACTGTGTATATCGCTACATTGATTCATTTCAAATGATGGAATTAAACTTGATCAATTCATTGTCATCATTTTGATTATATACTTGAATATTATTAATATTGAACACAAAAAATAGGGACGAAACAGTTATCAATGCCCGAACCTTGTCATTTTCTGACGTTTGTGGAAGAAAGTTCTTCGCGCATCCTAATGTATTGTTCTTCTATTTGCAGTTTATTCATATGTCGCGGTCGCCAAGGTCATTAGATGACCCAAAAATTAGAAAATAGCATTTTCATGAATTCACATAGAAGAAGGAAGGAAGATATCTTTTTTTGAAGCATCTAACCCTATTCGGCCTAGATGAACCTTCTTCCTAAAAATACAGTAATTCTTCTCAGGAAAGAAGAAAAATATCCCTCATGCATACAAAATGCACTACTTTTTATAAACCATCTAATCTTAACCGGCCTAAATGAACCTTCTTCTGAAAAATTATATTTTCCGGAAAATCACTTGAAAAAAAATAATTTAATAAAAGGCGACCGTCGCAGGCATTGAACCCGGTACACCGATGTATCAAAGTCATTTATTGTTGCTTCATTTTTTGTTACATCACATAATATCAATCACATTTCTATTAATGTTGGCACATCTGTAGGTGTGCCTGGGTATCCCTCCGCTTGGCGCAGAGGTGGCTGGTGTTGGCCAGGGAATGTGAGTGGATATGCGAGGTAATCTGAGGGTACCCAAGAGGGTGGCAAAAATGGCAAAACCATAAGAAACCTCCTTCTTGTTCTGCTCGGGCGGTTGTACTACACTTTCTTGTGCAGCACATCTGCCCGAATTCAGTGACTGGTAGTGATTTCTCACGTCCATGTCACTTTTTTATTTTCCTGCTCGAGAGATAGTCCTGTCTAGACTCTTCCCGGTGTCTCGGGTATTCCCGAGAATACGGGGGGATACGGGGGGATTCCCAACAATAGATTACCAGGTTCTCTAAACACATCGGTTGATGCAGATATCAGCCCGTGTTTCTTGCGTATGTTGTGATGTTGGCGTAGTGTGGTGATGTTCCGGGTAAGGTCACTTCCAGCGATGTGGTATTTGTAGAATTCATTCGATATTTTTAGAATGAATTCGTTGATTCTAGGCAAATTACCACATCTCTCGTGGAGGTCTGCCACTCGATAGTATCTATCACCATTGGTGTTCTGCAGCACCTGTAGCCTATTCATAATAGATGCTGCAGAACACAGGACACGCGTACGTCATCACATGCCTGATGACCTGCTTGTACAACAGGACCTTGAACTCCTGCGAGAGTGCGGAGGTCCTGGATAACAAGGGGTACATCTTTTTTATATCCGTTTGCCTTTTCTGTAAAAGGAAGTTGATATTGGGCCTGAATTTCATACGAGTGTCCAGTTCAACCCCTAGGTATTTCATAGGGACCGTGTCCCTCACCTCGACACCTTTGACGGTCAAAGGTCTGTTCAGCTTAGAATCATTGAACTTCTGATGGAAGTTGATCACTTCGGTTTTAGCGTTGTTTATACAGATCTTTGACTTGTCAAAGTAGGGCACGATTCCCCTGTCCAGATGAATCTGGATTTGCTGTCTGGCAATATCCGAGTCGGCCGAGTGAGCATATATCGCTGTATCGTCTGCGTACAGTGCTGTGCTCGAATACTGGAAAATCGTGCATATATAATGTGTATGGTAGAGGTGAGAGTCAAAATTCCAGCAGAACACCTGCCTCGAGTGGAAAATCTCCCGATATACTTCCGTTGACCTTGACCCGGAAAAATCGGCACTCTTGCCGGAAGTCAGCGAGATATTACAATTGATAAACAAATATTATTAATAAAAGATCTATCAGCCTTTTCAGTTTGTACCTTGAAACCTGAATCACTCTGTATATCGCTACATTGATTTATTCCAAATGATGGAATTAAACTTGATCAATTCATTATCATCGTTGATTATATACTCGAATATAATTAATATTGAACACGAAAAATAGGGACGAAACAGTTATCAATGCGCGAACCTTGTCACCAGGACCTTGTTCTCCTGCGAGAGTGCGGAGGTCCTGGTTAACATTGGGTACATCTTTTTCAGAGCCGCTTGTGTTTTCTGTATAAGGTAGTTGATATTAGGCCTGAATGTCATACGAGTGTCCAGTTTAACCCCCAAGTATTTCATAGGGACCGTGTCCCTCACCTCGACACCTTTGACGGTCAGAGGTCTGTTCAGCTTACAATCACTGAACTTCTGATGGAAGTTGGTCACTTCGGTTTTAGCGCTGTTTATACAGATCTTTGACTCGTCAAAGTAGGGCACGATTCCCCTGTCCAAATGAATCTGGATAAGCTGTCTGGCAATATCCGAGTCGGCCAAGTGAGCATATATCGCTGTATCGTCTGCGTACAGTGCTGTGCTCGTCCGCTCGAATACAGAAAAATCGTGCGTATATAATGTGTATAGTAGAGGTGAGAGGCAAGATCCCTGCGGAACACCTGCCTCTAGTGGAAAATCTCCCGATATACTTTCCTTGACCTTGACACGGATTTTCTTGTTGGTTATTATATTATATGCATCGATAATTTTGATGATAAAAATAGGCACTCTTGCCTTGTGCAGCTTGGCCATCAAACCTTCGTGCCAGACGGTATCAATAAAGGCCTTTTCTACGTCCATCATGACCAGAACGGTGTTTTTATCGTTGTTGCTGGCCTCCTTAACCTCATGAACAATTCGGGCCACTTGGGACACAGTGTCCCTTGCGGAACCCAAACTGTTCCTTTGGTATGAGGTCTAGCTCCTCGACCTCTTGAGATATTAGTCGTAAGAGGACTCTATTCACGATATTGGCTACCGCGCTAAGCATAGATATGGGTCTGTAGCCATCTGTGGATTTTAGGTTTTTGCCCTATTTCGGGATGAGTACAACAAGCCAAGTTTTCGGGCATTCTGGGAAGTGCTGGCATCTCATATGATAGCGTTGATGACTGCTTTGCCTGACATGTTTTTCAGGAGAACCATGTCCAGACCATCAAGCCCTGGTGCATTGTTGATATTGAGGTTCTTTGTTATCCCCATTACCTCTTTGGGGGATGTGAAAGTTTTGCCCAGGGCTTGTCTCGAGAGCGGGATGGTGGGCTGTGCTCTTAGTCGTGCGGCTGTTGCCGCCATGTCCTCCTGGACCTCACCTACTGGCTCATTATTAATTTTCGATATCTTTTGAAAGTGTCTCTCAAGCATTACTGCCTTCTCCGGATCTGAGACCGCTTCCTCGCGACCATACTCTAGGGTTGGGATGGGGGTGAACCGTTTTTTCAATCTTTTAGTCATTTTCCAGAGAGTATTGTCGCGAGGGTCCATACCCTCCAACTTGGCTCTCCAGGAGGAGTTCCTGAGCTCTCGGATTTCACACTCTATCTGATTACAGATCCTCCTGAAGGCGCCTCCGTCTTCCGGCGTTTCGAGCTTGCCAGCGGCGTCTCGGGATTCTCTTTTCTGTGAGGACCGACGTGGGATCCAAACGCACAGTCAACTACGCTACGAGTCGGAGTTGTCCGGTCAAGAGCTTCGCTCACGGCCAATCCAGAAATATAAACATAATTGAGATAGCGAATCTCTATCGGCCTAACCAGTAAATAACTTTACAGTATCTTCATCGATTGATCACTTCTAAAAACAAATTTGAAAAAATTACCTGAAAGTAGTGATTCGAACCCCGGTCTTTCGTTCGGAGAAAGGAACACTGCTCTATTGACAAAGCAAACTACAAAACATTCTCATACGCTCTCCATCACTAGCTGCCGTGGCAATATTTCTCGTATAGTGGTGCTATGGCTAGGCTCTAATTCGTTCTGGCTCTCCCTGTCACTGTCAGACCCAGTATCGTGACATCCCCGTGACACCGAACAATCACCGCGATGCGGAACCCTCCTCCGACCGTCACAACCACCAAGTCCGTCTCCGTGGCTGCTCCTTCGGTCATCCGCACTATTCCCACGCGGTCAGTCATCTTACCCGCCACCGACGATAATGTGGCCGAGAACTACGTCGTTATTCCCCCGGACGGCGGCTGGGGGTGGGTTGTAGTGGCAGTCGCCTTTATCTGCTATTTCATCATCGACGGAACCACCTACACGTTCGGGATTTTCTTGACGGATATTAGCAAGACGTTCGAGGTACATCCGACGAGGGTGGCGTTGATCAACTCGCTTCTCAGCGGGTTTACTTACTTTGTAGGTGAGATTCAGTAAACAATTTCAATTCACCGCAGAATTATAGTTACATCGATATTCGTGAGTGTGGAATGAACAGTTTCATGATTTTGACATCTTATTTGACACAATTCAAGACTGACGGAAGATTTGAAACGTCCGACTTCACTCAACGAGTTGCACACCTGTCATAGAATACCCAACAGTTATTCTGTGTGACAGTAACAGTTGTTTTGCAGTTGCGTAACAAGTTGAGTTACGTGTTCCCATTGTCACACAAAATGACGTGTTTCCTAACTGGTTACGTGAGTATTTATTTTCAAATTGCGTGCTCACTAAGTTCAAGTTTTCAGGTAACTAGATATCACCTTTGCTAGACTTTTCAGGGACTTTATTCGGAAGGATTTTATCGAAACGGATATAAGCAAGCCGTTCGAAGTGCATCCTACGAGAGTGGCGTTGATTAACTCGCTTCTCAGCGGGTTTACTTACTTTGTAGGTGAGATTCAGTGAACAATTTCAATTTACCGCAGAATTATAGTTAAATCGATATTCGTGAGTGTGAAATAAACAGTATTATGATTTTGGCATCTCATTTGACACAATTCAAGACTGACGGAAGATTTTAAACGTCCGACTTCACTCAAAGAGTTGCACACCTGTCATAGAATAAACAACAGTTATTCTGTGTGACAGTTACAGTTGTTTTGCAGTTGCGTGACAAGTTGAGTTTCGTGTTCCCATTGTCACACAAAATGACGCGTTTCCTAACTGGTTACGTGAGTATTCATTTTCAAATTGCGTGCTCACTAAGTTCAAGTATTCAGGTAAGTAGATATCACCTTTACTAGACTTTTTAGGGACTTTATTCGAAAGGATTTTATCGAAACGGATATAAGCAAGCCGTTCGAAGTGAATCCTACGAGAGTAGTAGAGGGGCTACAGGGATTCTGGGGCAAGCCAATCAGAGACCAGCATTTGGTTGGAGGCCACGCCCACTAAAAACCAGCGCGAAATTCAAATTATGCATACGTCGTCACGTCGCCATCGTGAATAAATAAATTAAAAAAAGCTGTCACCGCTGAGGGAAATTGAACCAGGGACCTTTGCATTATGAGGCAGCGTATATACGCACTGTGGTATTCCGACCTCCGTGATATTTCAATTATTTTAATGCTATTCAAACGGGATATCCATAGCTGGCGCGCGCTTATCTTTGCAACGGATCCATCGAGGTAGAGTGAAGCGAGAGATGCATTCCAGAGATAAGAAACTTCGCGTGGAAAATAATATCCATCGGTGGCGCGCGCTTATCTTTGCAACGGATCTATCGAGGTAGAGTGAAGCGAGAGATGCATTCCAGAGATAAGAAACTTCGAGTCGAAAATAATATCCATCTCTGGCGCGCGCTTATCTCTACACGGGTGCAGCGACAGCAAATTTCGCAATCAACAGCATAACAGATAAGGTTGGAGGTTATCAAAACCACAAAAAACCCAACAACAAATTTCACAATCAGCAGAATAACAGGAAACGTCGAAGGTTATCGAAACCACAAAAAACCTAACAATTTCACAATCAGCAGCATAACAGGAAACGTTGGAGGTTATCAAAACCACAAAAAAACCCAACTAGTCGCATAAACAAAATACACGATAAGAATGACGCCAGCATATAAAAGCGATGACGCCGCACAACATCATTCACACTCGAGTCTGCAATCGTGAACGTTGTCTCTTGACCAGCTCCAGCCAAATCATCACTGTTTGTGTGTGTGTGTGTGTGTGTGCATTAATAGCAATAATAGTAAGTACCTCTTTTTTATCAAAGTGCGTATTTATATTCTCAATCCTATATTATCCGACTTTTTTTATTCCATTTTGAGTTTCTTAGTTTTATTTTAAGTTTCATTGCAAATTATTCATTCAGTGCCCATTCCTTTCTCGAATTTTATATTATCGGTCCCTTTCATTTTATTTTGAAAATAATACAACCTAGTGCTCATTCCGCATCAACCTTTTTCATTCCAAGTTTTTTTTTTCGAGAGTCAATTCAATGAAAGTATCAATGATCAATCGCAGATTGATTTTATTTCTAGTTTTATCGAAAATAATCCATCCTAGTATCAAGCTCATCATGACTATGTTGGACTGCTGATGTTTTTTGTCCTTTGTCTTCCCACCAGATGGATCTTACTCAAATCAACGCAGCTTCTCTGATTGCTCCAAAACAACAGAAACCAAGCGTGAAGTTGGTGGATCTCCTGCTCGATCAACCCCAACCAATCAAGACAGCGAAAGTGGTCACCACAAAATTTGGTAAATCTGTTCTGATTGAGTTGGAGGACTCTGTTGTGTTCCTGCCCAGTCGTGTAACTGAGACCTATTCCCCCCACATTGGATATTTCGGTAGCGGGAAATATTCCTTGGTATTCAGAGGAAAGGTGGAGACTGGGAAGGCCAATCCAGCAGCTTCGTTTGAAATTTTGGAGAATTAAAGTAAGCTACATTTTTTTATTTGGGTAAAATATCATCAATATAACAATGGAGAGCATCAATAAAACCTTGACCAAAGTTGACGAAACACTTTTATTAATCAAGAACAATTATTCTAAACCATTGGCACTTTTTGTATTGAAATCAATCCGTTCACACATACGGAAATGTATTTTAGCATTGGAAAGAAATACTTTTTCGATTGGTTTGAAGCGTAAAATTCAGACTAAGATCGGGGAACTGAAACGGATGAGATTTTTCATCAAAACGATGAATAGAGGACATGTTGGCTCCGGCCTGAAGCCCTATATTCGTTGGATTGATGTAAATTCAATCTTCGCGTCGAGAGTGCAGACCGGTCTTATTCTGAATTTGAGACATAAGGAGATTATCGACTTTTTGGATGATTCATTTAGATTAGTAAATAAGAGAATTTCAAAAATTTTGGGGCGCTTTTCAATGCTAAAAGTCAACTTTACATTTTCCGGTGACTTCATTAAGCAGTCAAATAATGGGGAATTGGTTGACCGCAAACATTTTTGTACTCCCAATGCCATCGTGGACGCAGGAACGGACCTAGCCGATTGGTTCAAAATCAATGTGCTAGATGTGATCCTTAATAAACTTAGCGAATTTGCCGAGAAGAATAGCGGGTGGGCCTTGAGCGAAATTATTTCTCTGGAGGTTGCCATAAATAAATATGAAATGGGAAATGGCTCATCATACATCAAATTACCAGAGCAGATTGAGAGAAAGCATGCTTGCATTAACGTTCAAAATGATGATGAGGCTTGCTTCTATTGGAGCATAGTTAGTTGTTTGCACCCTATTAAAGAAAGTTCGAAAAGAGTTAATAATTATCCTCACTATTCACAAGTTTTGAACATCAAAGGATTAGACATACCAATGAAGCTGCCCCAAATAACAAAATTTGAAAAAATGAATGATATTTCGGTGAATGTTTATGCGTTAGAGTTGACAGAAGTCAACGAACGAACATTTTACTCTGTAGTACCCACCAGACTTACTAAGCATAAATCCAATCGACACGTTAATTTGCTTTTAATTCAGGACAAATATTTCCCAAAATTGAATGACTATGAAGCTCCTCCTGACAACGATAATGCTGAAGAGAACGTCAATATAAAATATCACTATGTGTGGATTAAGGACCTTTCACGACTAGTATCAAGTCAACTCAACAAATATAAGGTTAAGAAATTCATCTGCGATCGGTGCCTCAACTATTACCATTGCCAGGAGAAGCTTGATAGTCATGCTGCTCTATGTGAGAAAATTAATAATGAGAAAATTTCATTCCCCAAGTATGATTTTGTAGAATTTAAGAACCATGTGTATAAGCAGACGTGTCCTTTCATCATTTATGCTGATTTCGAATCGCAGTTGGAGAAATGTAATTCCAAAATTTCAAAAACCACTTCAAAGTATCAACATCATAAAGCATACAGTTCTGGGTACTATTTCAAATGTTCTTTCGATGACTCGCTGTCATTCTATCGTAGCCATAGGGGTGGAGATTGCATGGACTGGTTTGCCTGCGAAATGTCTAAAATTGCCAAATTTGTCGAATCCAAATTGAAAAATATCGTTCCAATGGTAGTCAAACCGGCTATTACCAGTGGCGCAACCATCTGCCACATTTGCGAAGAGAAATTCAAGGCAAAAGACGTTATCGTACGTGACCACGACCATTTTACTGGCGCATTCAGAGGCTTCGCACACCAGGCTCCCTGTAATCTCAACTTTGACGTGTGAGCGTACTCCCGGTTAATCGCGAAAAATACATTTCCTTTACACAACATGATGATGAAACAAGCATAAAATTCCGATTCATCGACTCTTTCCGCTTTTTGGGAACCAGTCTCGATGCTTTAGTGTCAACGCTAAAAGTTAATGATTTGAAAATTCTAAAGAAAGAATTCAGTGACGTAAATGAGACGAAATTTGAATTGTTGACACGAAAAGGAGTATTCCCATATGACTATGTCGATAATGTGGAAAGATTGGATGAATCCGAGTTGCCAAGCATTCAAAATTTCTATAACAAATTGAACGATACAAATATTTCGGACGACGATTACGCGCACGCGCAAAAAGTTTGGGAATCTTTCGAGCTGAAATCGCTGGGAGAATATAGCGACCTATATATGCGGACCGATATTCTTCTTCTTGCTGACGTCATGGAAAATTTCCGTGCGTCATCCCTCAAGACCTATGGCCTCGATCCTGCTTGGTATTACACCATGCCCGGCTATACTTGGGACTGCATGCTCAAGTATACTGGGTGTAAGCTGCAAATCATCAAAGATATCGACATGGTGATGTTTGTGGAGCAGGCGATAAGAGGAGGAGTATCGGTTTGTTGCAATAGGTATAGCGAAGCAAACAATAAGTACCAGAAAAATTACGATCCAAAAAAGCCGTCAAAGTACCTTCTTTATCTCGATGTAAATAACCTTTATGGAAAAGCAATGAGTGAACCCCTCCCTTATGGGGGCTTTACATGGGTAGAAAATGTTGACATTGATGTAACCCAAATTCCTGACAACAGTCCAGAAGGCTATATTCTCCAAGTTGATTTGGAGTATCCTGAGGGGTTGCATGACCTACACAAGGACCTTCCATTTTGTCCCGAACACCGCACACCACCAAATTCAAAATTATCCAAATTAATGACCACACTCCACGATAAAAAACAATATACTTTACATTATCGAAATTTGAAGCAGGCATTAGAACACGGTCTGAAATTAACCAAGATTCATAAAGTATTAAAGTTCAAACAATCCACGTGGCTAAAGCCCTACATCGAGTTGAATACTCGATTGAGGACTCTAGCCACAAACGATTTTGAAAAAGATTTAAGGAAATTGGCCAATAATGCGGTGTTTGGGAAGACTATGGAGAATATTCGTAATCATAGAACAGTAAAGTTAGTCAGAATGTATGAAGGCCGCTATGGCATTAAAAATTTAATTTCAAGTCCTCGGTTTCAACAGCGGACAGTTTTCGACGACAATTTGGTAGCAGTAGAGTTGAAAAAAGCAGAGCTGATTTTCAACAAGCCCCTATACATTGGTATGGCTATTCTTGATTTATCGAAAATCGTCATGTATGATTTCCACTACAATTTCATGTTACCAAAGCTTGGAGCTGACGTAAAACTCATGTATACCGATACGGACAGCTTCATCTACGAAATTGTATGTGACGATGCATATAGTGAGGTGATTGATGCAAATATCGAGAGATTTGACACGTCTGACTATGCTCCAGACAATATTTATGGTATACCTCGAGTAAATAAAAAAGTCTTGGGCCTATTGAAGGATGAGGCAAACGGTAAGATTATTACGCATTTTGCTGGACTACGGTCCAAGATGTACAGTTATAAATTGGATATAACGGATGAGGATATTGAAAAAGAGAGAAAGCGATTGGGAAGAAAGGGGTTCAGTAAAGAACGACTAGATAGGGAATTGGAAAATTTCGGTATTACTAAAAAATCCAAGGGTGTCAAGAAATGTGTTGTCAAAAATAAGTTGACTTTTGATGACTATGTGGATTGTCTGACGGCTTGGAAAGAAAAGACCGTAGCCCAGCAAACGATTCGTTCCTACGCTCACGATGTTTTTTCTATCGAGCAGACTAAAATTGGCCTGAGTCCCAAAGATGATAAGCGGAAACTGATTCACGATTCATTTGACACACTTCCGTGGGGTCACTACAGTTTGACGGATTGATTTTCTCCTTAGTATTTTTGCATCTAAATTTTCAAACCAACGCTGTTGTATTGATGACTTATTTTCCCACGAAAAAAATGTAACTTCTTTTATTCATCCAATAATTTATGTTGTACATATGTATATTTTCAATTATTTTAGTATTATCTAATTATTCCTAATATTCATATTTTATTGTATAAACTTTTTTTTTCATTTTTATTATTCCTTTTTACATTTATACTATTATACACTTTTACAATTATTAGACTTTTCTGTGTATTCTTTTCCCACACCCTTGTCTGGATGATGTGTACGAGAAAGAGAGAGAGAAAAAAGAGAAGAAGAAGTGAGAGTAAGAGAGAGAGAGAGAAAGGGAGAGAGAGAGAGAGATTGGATGGATATTAGTTGAAGGTATGGATGTAAAAAACAGTTGTATCATGTCTTCTGACGAATACAGACGTGCACTAGAAGAATTTGGGTTGAAAGTTAGAAAGCTCAGTGCAGACATCCAATTGTATGAGCAGAAAGTTTGTTTGTTCAAAGATTTCGAGCAATTGAGTGTTTGGGACAAGGTGTTCACAGAGCCGAGACGCACAGCTGCACCTACATCGAGAAGAATCCAACCAACACAGCTACTAGATGGCGATACTGAAAGCAAGCTTCATTCTATTGACAGCTCTGAGCAACAATGTCTTCTACACAAACATACCGTACAATACGAGGAATGCAGCCGTATGTTTTGATGTGAATCGTACACAACAGTGTGATTGGAAGCTGATGAGTAGAATGTATGCCAATGATAACAAACTACCTGTATATTCAATCGACATGCCTCGAGTCAATGGGACCACCATCGACTACAAATTGAAATTATCGTTTTCTGATGGCAGTGACGGCGAAATGGGAGACTGGCAGACATTTACATTGAAGAAATCACCCGCAAAATTAGATGATGATCAAGATACTGTCAATATCATTGCAATTTTGACACTTTGTTGTACACTAATATGTTCACTCATTTTAATCTCACATGTTATTTTCATTATACTGAGAAATAAGGGATGTGATGAATAAAAACTCTGAAATTATTATAAAGTTTTTTATTTTGGCAATAAATTACATAACCAATTATATAAAGTATCGACATTGTGGAGACTGCACTGGAACCTTCCTCCATGGAAATGATGCATGCAAGGTGGAATGGATTGTAGGAACGTTATTGGCTGCCACCAAGAATTGTCAAAATCTTCCAAATTAACAATGTGATTGGTCATCTCCAACTCTGCACATTTTCGCTGTAAAAACTGAATCTTTTGATGGCCTCTTACGTAGATGATGTTTGTCTGCTGCAGGTTATCTCGTAGTATTTGATCCAACTCATTCAAATCCACATAACCACTGGAATATTTTAAACCATGAACGTAACGCTCCACATGATTTGCCATCTTTTTATCTTCTCTGCTTAAACTCGAAAATTCTACAGATGGCTTGAATAGAAAATGACTCGTCTTTTTGCCAATGCGAATGGTCATTTCCTTTGGAATGAATTCACCATCAACCATGAACCCTTGAATGTCAACCAGTGCGATCTCCATGACTCTTCGAAGCAAACTGACGTCTGACTGATGCAGCAACACCCACCTAGGCAATATTTCGAACAATTTCGCTGAGTGGGAGATGTTCCATGATTTGATCGTGAATGATGATGCAATAGGCTTTGGTGTCGGGAGGGAAGCCTGTAGTCGCTTCAATGTCCAACTTTATGTCAACTGTGGACGACTTTAGACCCAGATGGCGCCTCGAGCAATCGATAACAAACATTGGTCGGGATTTGAATTCGGCAAAGTTTACTAGAGAGCGCTTTTCTTGACAGTTATGGTAGCTCTTGTTGAACTCTGTATAGTTGAAGTGAGCGTCAGCATATTGGTCTCGGGAAAAGTCCAATAGCATTCGTTCTTGCGGATAATAGTCGCTATTCAGAGCCAATCGTATGGATTTGATGTTGGCATTATCGAACAAGGTGACGTCTTCATGCAAATTATCGGCTTTTTTCGTTTGGAAAAATACTATAACATATCTTGGACTGTCCAATGCAGAACATGTCTTGACGGACCAGATTTCTATGGTAGATCCTTGTGTGAGTGCTGGTAGCTCGTGCAATTCCCATCTGCGAAACGGTATCATCATAGGCTCATCTGCTTTGATACGTGTCAACAACTGCAACTTTATGTCATCGTTGGGTGTGAGATGTGGCACTTTCAAATTGATGCTTTCTATCGTTATTTTAGCAATACTTTGAGTCTGAGGAGATCCTGGCAAAGCAGTATTCGCTCTCTCGACAACCTTCACACTGTTGGCATCATTGCGAGCTCTCACTAAACGGATTGACTGCTTGCCCCACGTTGCCACTTGATGATCATTGAAGATGGAAAACAAATGTTTCAGTGGAATGTTCATGCTAAACGTACCATCGGTGTTGAGGATCGGAGCATTGGGATAGTTCCAGCCTGCTATGGCTAGATGACGTGAGTCTTCAGGCGTATAACACAAGTATCCTCGCACAGTACTCGTTATTCCAGGATATCTGACAGTGTCCAATTCTTTATTACATAATTCATAGGTGCAGGAATCAAAGAGATAAGCTCCAGCATTGTGGGTTAATGTACCAGTACCACCACCGGTCACCTTCAATTTACCCTTGATGGTAATGATGCCTTCAAACATGGCCAACCACGAATCTGCTTGATTAACCGTTATATCGATGACATCATTGTTCTCGAATGATTTCACATATGGATAATAGGTACGCCATTCCACTTTAGTGATGCTTTCGTCGAATCTGGGTTTGCGGAAAACGTCGAACACGGGTGCTAACAACATTGTAGTCTTTGAGTGATTTCAGAAACAGGACACTGGATAATGTCAATGTTTTTCTGTTGCTGCTGCTGCTGCTCTTCGAAGACACGACTGCTTTGGTGTACGGTGTCGAGAGAACTGGTGCCGATGATGTTGCTGATGATGGTATATTATCTGATTTATAGGAGTAATCAAACACTAGTACCATCTTGCGAGTTTCTTCAATTCCAATCTTATGATGATTTCTTCACCTCTAAAATTCACCTGCCTGAAATCTTGGTCTAGAATCTGGAGTGTAATGTTGGGCAATTCCCGCCTGCTGACTATAGGTAGATAGATTAGATTTCTGGGAGTCTCGTCTATGGCGTAACCAGGATCGACTGCAACTGCAAACTCGTAGATCGTATGTGATGGTCTGTCGTTGTAGAGAGCTCCAGCAGTAACGTTGCTATCAATGTGAATGGTTCTCACTTTGGTTATGCTGACCGGCAAATCGGAAGTGTGGACTTGTTGTGCGTTCAACAATCTATTTGAAAATCCCAAGACTTGAGCTATGCTATCCTTTGGACGAAAATCAATGGCAAACTGTTTGCTCGAAATCTCACACTTTAGTGTATTATTGTTGGGCTTCAACGAGAATATATCATCAACGTCCTTTGCACTTGAGATCCCCAATTCTTTGCGTATGAATGTCTCAATGTCCACAATGTCGTATGAACCTTCGGGAATATCGATGATCTTTCCCGCCTTGGTCTTATCTTGCAGATAAAACTTTGATCCTTTGTCGATA